AGGTTGTTGGGGTAAGATGGCACCATACATACGGATTAACAACTTGTTATGGTAATGCTAAGAGAAAATAACAATCGGAATACTTCCCAGTCTGCATTGATGTAGGTGCGTCATTGTGTGTTATAGTTCCAAAGGATCGAGTTATGCAGAATGTATTCAGAATATACTCTCAAGTAACAAACTGCAGTGAGCTCATTATGAATCTGCGGGCAAAAACCACTGAGTATGGAAGGATGTTCCAAGGTTGTCACGTCCGGATGGATAAATAAGTTCGTCGATAATCTGAACGACTTTATTGTCGACTCATCTTCCGACAATTACCACTCAAGTTGCTGTTAGGGTTGAGTTTCAAAATGTGGCGGCATAAGAGAACGCAGTAAGCCAAGATGAGGTCTCTACGTAGTTGCCCCTGGCGTCCACGGAACACTCCGATTATCTTCAGTCGTCCTAAGTACTGAAGGTGGCGTAAACTCTGCTAATTATTCTTGCTCGACTCTGTGGGGTATTCAAGTGTTTCAGGAATGAGTAGCACCTCTGGTAGGGATTTGCCTAACCCTCTGGGGTAGTCCACCTATCTTTGGTCTCCACCTGTCACCCAGCTCTCACCTGTGGCTCCAGGATGCTGCTTGAACACAGCAGTAACCACACCCCGGTCAACCGTCAGGCAGACAGAGCTTATCAGGTGAGGGTAGTCGGGAACACTATTCTCGGTGAGTTCTTACGCGCGTGCAACGTCAATCCTGATAACTGGGCGGAAGAGATCGACCTCTGATCCAACGGCCAGACGTTAAGACGATTTTCCAGATCCCTGCTGTCTTGCAGGTAGCATTTGACTGTGTAAAGGCTAGAGATGAATCCTCGAACGAAAGCCCAATAAGGTTTGGGTCCTCATATGTACCAATAATCCCTACGAAAATTCATGACATGTCCGTTACCCGCGAGCATTCTCATGCTCCGGCGTTCCCGGTGGGCGAAGCGCTCTGCGCTGATCTAGTGGTCAGAGGGACAAGTAAGCTAGCAGAGTCCCTCAATCCCCGGAAGATATTATTCATTGGATGTTGGAATGTTGGAACACTGTTGGATGTCGGCAGCCTAGAGTTGACCATGCGCACACTACATGACTACCAGGTCGACGTAGCATGTCTGTCAGAATCTCGAATACTCGGTTTTGGCTCTTGACAGACCAAGGTTCCTAGAGTAGACACTTCATATTGGCTTTACCAAAGTGGTCCGGAAGATAATGCTGACATTCATGGGGTCACCATGGTTCTTATTTGCCAGGCAAACAACGCTCGCCTTTCATGGTAGCCAGTAACAGCGAGAATAGCAGTTGCTAGTTTCAACGGTCACCCGATGAATATGACTGTAACCTCCGTCTAGGCACAAACCGTACATTTGACGGAAAGGGAAAACGACCAATGTTATGGTACTCTACAGAGGGGGTGAACTATCTTCCAAAACACGGCCTCCTCATTATTGTTGGGGATTGTAATGCACGAACCGGGTCGAGGAACAACCACAGAGGTCACATACTCGGGAGATACGCCTTTGGAGAGCGCTGTGAAAATGAAGACCGCTTGTTCAGCTTCGCCAGCCTTAATGCTCGCTTCCAGCTTCCCAGAAAGCATCTTCTGATCTAGAACTCCAACCATGTCTGTAGAGCCAACCAAATAGTTTACATCTTAATCCGATCCCGATGGACGTCCTCCATCGATGACTGTCAAGCGTACAGAGGGGCGGAAGCGGACAATAAAGTTGGTTCAGGCCACGTACTCCTGCGCGCTAAATTCAGGCTCCGCACGACAACGCGTAGGAATACCCTTCTTGCAAAGCCTAAAACACTTCCGCATTGGCAAATACCGACTGCTCCCGATCCCCTGAGGCAGAAACAAAAAAAGAAATATTTGCTAGTGCAACACGCCTCGTACTTGCAGAAGAAGAATCTTTCGACGCCCATTGGTCTAGGCTCAAATGCTAAATCAACGCGCCGCATTAGCTACCCTGGGCTCTATCTCTAAGCCCGGGAAGGACTGGATCACCGGAGATACAATCCGCTTGTCCGCTAAAGCCAACGAAGCACGTCTTACGAATTCCCAAGACTACGGTCGCTTGAGACGTGAGTCAGTCCATTCAGCACGGAATGACCGTAACCGCCACTGGTCTGTTATTGTAGACAACATGGAAGCTATATCAACTTCTGGCAGTCTGCGTTGTCTTTTTCGTCTCCTCCGTTTAGCTTCCGGCAAATACAATTTGCCGCAACCGATATTGCGCATTCAGGATGGCAAATCGTACCTGATCCGGAAGTAAAGAGTTCCAGGTGGGTGGCGTATTATAACAACCTCCTAAACCGCTAACTACACACAACTACACCCATTTCAGCATTAGCCCAGTCAGAATATGACGGGGATTGCTCACCGCCATCTCACACACTGGCCACACTGTGGTCCAGTGCCAAAACGCCGCTGTCCTGCGGTCAGTCTTTACTTGAGGCAAGTAATATGGTTCATGTCTATGTCCAAGCCAACTGACAGTGTCCTTCCAACGCAATACAACACCATGACTTTCCTTCAAACCATCTCTCGATGTTCTGGTAGTCGCAGAACACAATAAACGGCGCCCTATCTGCTGCTTTGCGCAACGAACCATACAGCGTTAGCTGGTCACGAACTACAAGGTGCGGATCTGCTTCCCTATGAGCGATTGATTGAGTTGCAGTACATTGACGACATTGCGCTCATCTGTGACAGCTCCCTGACATGCCAAGCAATAGTAGACAGATTGGCACTGGTTGTCAACCGTTTTGGACTTTACCATGTTCTCTCGAAATGCAAAGACCTTCTTCAAAGCTTGCAGACACTCACTCCTGCGCTGACCCTTGCTGGTGATCAACTAGAGCTATGTAGTATTCCAAGTAATTGAACAGCTCTATTATCGTCCGTGGGATCGAAAGTGATGTCGCCTACCTTAAAACAAATGCTCGAGGTGCTTTAACCAAATTCCGCCATCTGTGGCGCCAGCCTGAAATCTTTCTCGCCTTGAAAAACCGAGTTTAGAATACAGCCATAATCTCAACCTTCCTGTATGGTTGTGAAACGTGGCCCATCTAGTCGACAAACATAAAGTGGCTAGATTAGCTCATATCTGGTGGAAGTACCGCTTGAACAACGAAGGTGTTCGGCGTCGCGTACTTGATGTAGGAATAGCGGATGAAACGCTCAGCACCATTATATCACACACCAGGCTCCGATCGGTGGGCCACACGTTGCGCATGCCAGCACACCGTCATCCGTGTCGTGCTTTGTTTGCGCGCGAAGCATGTGGATGGAAGAGGAGAAGAGTAGGCCAAGACAGGATTTGGTCGAGAGGAATGAAGTCTCTCACTTCGAATTTAGCGTCGGTTAATGCTTCTTGATTGTCTCGCTTGAGTCCGAGAAGTATTGGACACTTTAAATTGGATATGATTGCTGATATGGTGAAGTGCCAGCCTCAGTGGCGTTTGGGTTTTGAGTTTCTATGTCCACCCGCCTCCAAGTAAGATCTCATACCAAGTGCATATTTAACATATTATTACTTGCCTTTTTTAGACTGTAATTCTCAATTTTAGCTTTTTATATTGCGTCACATTAGCGAAGGTGTGTTTCTCACCCGCAGTTTACGTGCAATGATGATGTTGATGATGATGATCTTTTACTATAGACATACGGATGCATTTGTACACAATTTGCTGCTCAGTTATTAAAAATCTCTAGAGGAGTTAAGTCTATATTACCCAATTACCTACTGTGACATTGCGCGTGTATTTGTGTGGATGGGCCGCACAATTTTCGGAAAAGTTGACTATTAACAAAAAGTAGATAGCAAGGTGTTTAGTGCCGCATTGTTAGCTGTTGTCATCTCGATCCGTTCAACTTCAAAACCATTTGATCTGATTTGATCTAAAAGTGCAGCTGCTACCGCAGGCTTTCCACAACTCCTCTATGTGAGCAGTTTTGATCACGTGATGTACCCAACTCTCAGGGTGTCAACTCCGACCCGTGTAACTTTGCGTTTAGGTCTCACTTACAAACATCGTTCGGTCTACCAAGTATTGCGTGATCATCAACTCAGGCACGGGGCAAACTTATAAACGAATTTGACTGTAGCTTCAACCCAACTGAGACTTGGAAAAGTTCTAAATGACCATGACTGAATTCTGAGTAGTGCACAGGTTGGAAACCTGGAATGACCGAGTCGCATTATTTCGCAGTTTACTGGTCATTGCTTGACTAAGCAAAGGTGAACACATTTCTGCACCTGCGAAACTTGCTGTTACTTATCCCTTGAATACGTACATGGAAAACCCGTTTTTTGGATGGGCTCACATTAGCAATAACGGTGCTTCCAACCATGGTAACCACGGAGGGCTTACACATAAGAGCACAGAGAACCGGTTTTTAGTGTGTTTCTGGAGGAGCCTTGTAATTTCACTCGAGACTTCATTGTTCAATGATGAGAACTATTTTAGGCAGTCTTTCTACACGTTACGGTATGCACCTGTCACATTATTCCGTGAAGTCAAAGATGATGAGAGATAAATTATCTTAAAGAAGAGACTACCACATCCATAGAAGTATGCGGTGTGATAACTAATCGAAATTTCCGGTCTCGATGTTAAGATATCTGTCCTTGAGTTGTGAATGATTTTCGAGTTCGCCTTAGTGAATTCAGGTGGCAACCTAACTTTTGATAAAATCTAGTTTTTTCCTTTCTTAACTGCACGATGAACTAAGTGCCCAGTGCCGATTTAAGCATCGTTACGTTCGTAACGTTCTTCGCTTTAACCGCGCGCGAACCCCATGAGTAGTGGGACTTGAATAACTTGGAAGTACTAAGTCGCATGCTTACCTTACTTGCGAGAAGAAGCAAGAAATAAGGAAACATACCCGTGTTTGTGCTTTGACGCAACACACTTCTTTTGTCATAGCTTTCTTTTACTTGTTCACTTCTGATTCCTCTAGCCAAGGCTCAGCATTGTTCAAAACCGTTTGCCTGTATCTTCAGCAAGGCGAAGTCCTTTAGGTGTACGAAACTCTGGACCCAGTCCGCTGAAACACCAGTCTGCCTTCGAGCTCCAGTCGGATAGAGCAAAAAGTTACGAGCATCTCAATAGCCCTCCTGTGCGATATATGCACACCTCAGCACCATTTGCCTCCACAAGATATCGTCGACAGGAAAGAAGCCCTTTGGAACAGATACCAAGTCATACTGACGAAGAGGAGAATCAAGCAGCTGTTGATCCGGGAGAAACTAAGAAATCTGATCGTCGCCAATCAAAAGTACGCATGATAAACCATTTTCCTCTGTTTAACTATGGGATGAGGCACCCACAATGCACAATTTCACTGCCTTGTTTTAAGTACCAATAACTGAATCTTTCTGTCTTATTGATTAATAACTCATTGCATTTAGTCAAGCCTCATCACGCATTCAAGTCGTTAGGATACACTAAAAATTGACTTTGAACGCATTATGTCATACAGGTTTAAAGTTGTCTGTTTTTGTGTTCTTTACTTGGTAACCGTTTAGACCCAACTCACGTAGTTGCAATTGGGATACTCGACTCCCAGACGAGTTAAGAAACATTGCCGAGTACAGTGACTCTGATGACCGTGCAGTTGTGTAGAAATGTATAACCGCGAGAGAGCTGCTTGTGAAGATGACAGTATTTAGCGGGAGTGTGTAACATAGGCTAAGAAAAGTGCGTTGGAACAGCTTAGCACTGAGATGCTTCGTAATTCCATTGCCTACGCTGGCCGCATCGCAAGTGGTCGTGTTAGATAGACTCAAAAAGATCTTAATTGGTTTACGTGTAACGCTTCGGAGGGATATTAGTTTCGTGAACACAGTGGAGAGCCGGAGCTATCAAGCGTTTGGCCAGAAGCCTCCTCTGGCCAAACATTGATGTTCGAATTGGATTGGATGGTGCAGACCACCGTAGAAAAATTAGGAGCACACTTTTGGCCTGTTTCTTGGCACCTACTATGTGCATTCACGGTGGTACACGAACTGTACCTGCCATCAATCTGCACGTTTCGCGTTCGACTTCAACTACAGATGACTGAAGGTTATTTGTTCAAGTAAGCACGTGGTTCGTCTCGGAGTAATGAATCTGGAGAGCTCAATAAGTAGCACCACGTGATGTTACTTAGGATACAGCTTATCAATGATAAAAAGCTGAATTTGATGGTGATGCTGAAAGAGTGTGTTAGTACATGGAAACACCATAGCCTTTAACTGAATTTGAGAGGAACACTACATCGTATTTAAGTTTTCCACATGTTCTATTGCTTCCTGTCCCATAAAGTTCTTCATTGTACTTTTTGGTTTGCTTTCTTCTCTTAGATACGCAGGTAGGTGGCATGGACAATAGTAAAATAGTTTTAATTTCGTTACGTTTTCTTTCTGAGCTCCTACTTGTGGTGTGGTACTGGTAGGAAGTGAACAGCCTTCTCTTACAACCCTAGAAGCCGATCTGGCTTATTGCTTCATTGACGTGGGTGCTGGTCACTTAGACGTAATACCCGGAAGGTAACCTGGTGGATACCTATGTCAAGTTCCGCGATACACTGGGGTTCAAAAATAAATCATAGAAGCCTCTATAGAAAATGTTCAATTCAACCTGTTACTCTGGGCAGCAATATAGAAGTATATCCGCATAACAGTTATCAGAGCTCTTAGTGTGTTATTCGCAAGCCACTGAAGCACACGCGGTAATGAGACGCCGCACCAATTTCTACAGTTCCGTCAATAAACCATATGCGGTGTTAACTAAATAAATAACCAAGTTGCATACTTCCTGGTAGAACGCCTAACGAAAACTGACCGTGCCTACGAGAGTCAAACAATGCTCATGGCAACGAAATCAGGCACCACTCAAAAGGTCTGGTTAAGCAAATTTCACTAGAGCTGACACCTAGGGTTAACAAGGATGAAGCAACCGAACACCAACCCTCGGTACCTGTAACTCAAATGTCTCTTTTCGAGACATAGCCCCTCCGGAACCACAGTTACCTATACAGAGATTGCTGCAAAGATCCGCCGGGAAGCCACGGTTGCGGCCTCTTCTGTTGTAAACACCGTTAACGCGAATTCAGGGACAAACAGCAAACAATCAACACTTGTCAGCAGGTCAGGACAAACGAGTACCATACCTTGTAGATCAACGTAAAAGGGATCAAACAACAGTGCCCGGACTGTTCAATGCTCAAATGTCCCTGAATCTACCGTCATCACATTGCGGGATAAGTTATCAGACGACCAAGACCAATTGAACTAATTGTGCATGCAGATGAGTATCAAAGCCAAGCCCAGAAACCTATTACGAATTACTCGTCATTCGAACTTACCACACTATGGAGAACCCAGACTTATCCGAGTAAAACTAGAATCCTCCACCGACGTAGAAAACGCTTTGCTCTCTGCAAGCGAGCTAAAACACGGATCCTGTGAGATGCTCATCTATGCTTATGTCCATTGGAGCGCGCGAAAATCAAAGAGAAACTCCGGAGCCGGACACAGCAAACTAGAAGGCCGAAACGCAATGTTCATATATGGCTTGTCAGAACATTCTTCTAACGATGTTCAAGAGACAGGAAAGCATGATTTAGAACAGTGGCGGTTCATTCGTGCAACTTTCTTTGGATAATATGAGAGCGCCATCGCTTACCAGGATACATCACTCACCAAATTATAGACGATGCGGCCTTAGAATCCTAAAACTTGTTGATCAGTCGGAGCTACAAACAACGGATGTTTTGGATCGATGGCGGGAACGTCGGAAAATTCTTCCTTCAGAACTTCGGTTAAAGGTCGCAGAATCTTTCCGAAATTTAACAAGTAAACCACATGAAGCAGCAAACATACCGATGATCACATTGGAGCTTAACTTGATTGCTGCTTCACTTGGCACTGACGTAGGTCTAAACGACGATTTGGACGCACATTGGCTGAATCAACTTCCAGACGTATTATCATTATCCCATCAAAAAGACGAGTAACTGCCGACCTCCCACCGGTCAGCATTCTCCCACGCTTGACCACTTTAGCCCTCTATGGGCTCCTAGAGACTGAGAAACTGGCCTGAAAGATCGCCAAGCTTCCGGGTCATCTGATGCTATTGGTATCACCGGGACGTAGTTACAAACGGGAATGACGGACGCTGAAGTTCTGCTACCTGGCATGTCGCTGATCCGGGACGATAGGCTCACAAAAGGAGGAGGGGTAATTCTGTATTACCGAAAAGACTTACAGTGCGAAGCCTTGGAAGATTCGGGCTCGCAGTTCCCCGACTCTCTTTGGTGCCGCTTGCAGTTAAAGCCAGAGATGCTTACCTTACTTTCTTGGTGTACCACTACTCTAACTTTAGATACGAAACCGGCAGCCCGCTAGCGGCTGCTTTAAAATGCATTTTACAGCGAAAGTACACTCACATACAAATCATGGGTGATTTCAAGGTACATTGTTTAGAAACTCCTGCCACCAATGAAGAACAATTCAAAGCTGATCTACAAGATCTCGTAACCATTGTTCCTTTTTACAATTACATCACTTTGCCCACTCGGTTAAGAAAAGGTAACAGGCCATCTGTGCTGGATCTTGCGCTTACCAAGGAGGAGCATATGATTGATGGGTTGGTTTTAGACTGCCCGTTGGGTCGCAGTGATCACGCAGTCATCAGTTTCAATTTCGTCTGCTATGCGGAATATCGGAATGAGTAGGATGTGACTATGCGAAACATCACAATGTACGATCGATAAGCCCAGCTCGTCAGCGATACCACTTCGTCCTTGCTTGCTGAAGGACCCCCGGAAGTCTCCTGACTCGGGTTCGTCAACAACTTCAGTCATCTGATTGCAGAGGCTTCAGAGAAACAAGTTTGCAATAAGTGTGAAGCAGTTTCTTTCGTTAGGAGCAGAACACGAAAATGGATGACAGCACACAACGCAGTATGTCGAGTGTGCAGAGAAACTCCCGCACCAGAAACTTAGGACAACCATTTAGTCCAAGGTAACCACTGCACTGAACTGTTAAGAGAAGACAAGGCTGCCTATCAGCAGTGCATCGCAAACACCCTCATTACTAACCACAAACTGCTGTACAAACACGTTAATAGCCTATGAAAGGTGAGGCAAGGATTTCCTCCACTCAGGACGTCCGATGGCCCAACAAATACGGTTGAGGAAGCAGCAAACGCAGTGCGGGTGCAATATGCCTCACGTTTCAGTTAGTGCTGTCACCAAGCGATCTTCCAAGTTTTGTCGTCTCTCCGCCAGGGCTAACCCACGTCAATTTTACCGCGGAGGCTGTATTGCAGGATCTGATGTCTCTAAGCAAACTCACGTCGCCGCGTGTCGATACCATTCGTCCAGAAGCACTGGAAGCAGCAGCAAGCCAACTGGCAGGACCTTTAACTCAGTTTTTCCAGCGCTGCTTAGACACGAATCAAATTTCCGCCATGTGGATGTTTGGAATAATATTCCACATTCCCAAAGATGGAAGCAGAACTAAGCCATCCAAATACCGCCTATTATCCCTATTTGCTATACTTTCCAAATTTATGGAATCCATAGTTGCCGATGCACTGGCGTGTTCTCTGGGAAACGGTATCATCATCACGCCCGACCAGCACGACTTCCTTCGACAGCGGTCATGCACAACGAATTTACTAATCGCACTCAGTAGTTGGACCGAGTCAGCTGATGCTGGGGAAGGTATTGATGTGATTTTCCTGGATTTTTGGAAAGATTTCGATCGTCTAGACCATCGGATGCTACTTTCCAAGCTCCAGTATTACGGGATCGGCGACCCACTTTTAAGCTGGATCTCCAACTTGCTACTTTAACGGCAATTAGGGGTCAGAATTCGGAGCTCTTTATCGGACCCCATACAAGTCGAGTGTGGTGTGCCGGGTGGCTCAGTTCTAGGTCCACCTTTGCTTTTGGTATTAATTATTGACCTTGCACAGGGAATGACTTCTAAGTTCTTAACGTTTTACCGACGATAGCAAGAGTAGGCGCAGAATCCAGGCGAACGCCGACCAGCATCTGCTCCAGAGAGACCTAGATCCGGTATAACAATGCTCAACCCAAAATTTACTGCATTACAAGGTGTGTAAATGCAAGGTACTTTCCATCCGACATCAGAGCAGCGTCTCACACCGGCTCGGAACGAATGTACTGCAACAATCAGCTGTCGAACGTGACTTGTGTGTCCTGGCTCAAGATGACTTGGGTTGCTCCAGGTAATCCGAAATGGCCTCGGAGACTGGAAACCAACACACCGGGCTGTCGCGACTTGCATTTGAACAAATAAACAGCTCCATATTTCGAAAAATTCTCGGGGCGTATGTTCGCCTGCATGTCGAATACGCAATCCAAGCCTGGTATGCATGTTTGAAACACGACCTTAATGCACGGGAGCAGCCAGAAGGTAATTGGAACGCCCAATGTTTCATACCAAGAGAAGATGCAAAGCTTGGGGGTATTCAGCAGAAGCTATCGCAGACTACCAGGCTACCTGATTACGGCATACTTGATTCTGCCAGACCCCCATCATGTGTGCCGCCATTTACTGCGACTCAGCAACAATGCAACCCTGAAGAACCACTCACTGAAACTCACAGAACAGTATAGCCGTCTGGAGTGCCGCAGGAAATTTTCCATTTTTGTCTGTCATTCTAGGAATGCTCTTCTATAGTCGGTCGTCTCTGCACCGGCACTAGCAGCATTTAAAAGACAATTGCATGACTCACTCATCCAGTTACATTTGGTCACTTAGCGCTACGTCTCTATCCTACACCTGAAGTTTACCATTTATTTATTTGATGTTAACTGTAGGTGTTGTGAACCTAAGCGGATTGCATGCCTACATTAGAGCAAACGTTAAGTCCTTATTTCATGTTTGAAGTACTAGCTACTTTACTATTATTATTATTATCATTATTTTTATTTCGATTCCCCCCAACTATCCAACGGGACTTGTAAAGCAACACTTCTTAACCCATACAAGTGCATTGTTCATTTTTTAAACAAAACAATAATCTGTGCGTGTAAATATTCAGCGGGGTGCTGTTGGTAAATTATGTGACGCAACTAATAAGGCAAAAAATGCTACCTAGGAAAAACAAGAAAATTGTTGCGCGAATTTCATCGATAGGTGGTATTGTTTCGAGATTCTTGGAAAGAACGGAGACTATGCTTACCATGGGAAATAGAACTACAGCCCACAGTTCAGAAAAAAACAAGACTCGGTTAAATGTGCAATGGTTGTTAGAATGTTTTCAGTCAATTTACCTTATTAGATTTCTTCTATCAGTATTCACATCCTGTTCTATTTTCAGAGACATAGCAAGGAAATAAGATTCAGTAATCAGGTAAGTGCCACCGATAAATTTTAATGGAACCTATATTCAGTATTAATCTTATAAATTGCATAAACCAGCACCGTTGGTACACGTAAGACGCAGTATGGGTGCAGGAGAGTTGCGCTTAAATCGCCATCTGATTCCGGTGAGAAAACAATCCGTTTTCTGATCAAGAACGAACAACGTACGCTGCGTATTTTCCACCGGCTATTAAGTCTAGATATAAGGCAGCTACATTGATTCGTGTTCGCCGCGAATACGGTGACCTTAGACAATTCTTACCAACGCTTAGCCTCGCTGCACTCTTTGGCTTATTCAGCATACCATCTTTAAACAGGTTGAGAGGACTCAAACCACATATGATGAAGAGTGCCCAGATTCGTCGATTAGCAGCAGTGAAAGCAACGAAGGTAATCAAATGGTGAGCATTCGACGGAAAACTATCTCTAAGATTGCTGACGGTAATGCAACCTATGGTTATTGGATGATGAGTTGATGTAACATATTGGCGGGACATTGAGTAGCTAAATGGGGTTGATCGGTTAAACGTCGCTTCTCCTTCGATGATCAATGCTCCCCTGTTGTACGTCATGTGAGCGTGACGTTTAACTAAAGAATGATTCCCTTCCGACCGTTGTACGGCAGCATGTCTATAGATTACTTTACTGTGTAGTCATTTTTGGAGGCCATTTTCCATGATTTAGCCAAGACTACAGTTCTCGGTGGTTTCGGCCACAAATGGAATTCCGTCTTTACTAGTGCTCTTGAAGTCGCGGCGCAATTGTGACAACATTTAGCCATTTCTGCCAGTTGTCTCTCCATCGATGGCCGGTACACAAAGCTTCGAACAAGCGCCATCATCCGGTTGACCCCAGAATGCCCAGCATAGAATTGCCTAAGTACGAGTTTTTCCAGTGCTTTGGGGATGACAACTCCTTCCGATGGCGACTGCATACCTCGTTTGATACAACTGTTTCAACTAGACAGATGAACATGAATGTGGCCAACTCGTTCTTTGGAACTGTGTGACTTTCTTAAGTACCGGCTCCCGAAGTGTATCATTTCGGGCAGCTTCTGCGGTAATTGGCAGATCGTGCAATGCACCACTCATCAAATAGTTAACCTCACTTTCGATCTCGATCAAAGCAATGACTGTGTCCTCATGTCCTTGCTGATGGGCAACAATTAAGCGTGACAGTGCATGCGCTTGGCTAACGGAAATTGTTGACTGGTAGCTAATCTCGAAATCATACCCCATTAAGTTAAGAGCCCAACCTTGTAGCCGGTTGGCTGTGTTGACCGGAATGCTCTTTTTCGAACCAAAGATAGCCGGCAAGTGTTTGTGTTCCGTCAGAAGCTTGAAGCGGCGGCCGTACAGCAGTTTGTGGAATTTCTTGTCCGCATACACTATAGTCAGTGCTTCTTTCCAGATCTGGCTGTACCTTAGACCTTCGTAAGTGTTCTGCCGGCATGAGCCATTGCTTTCTGAAATCTATCGGAGTACGTGTCTGAAATTACTGCGCCAATTCCATGCCTGGATGCATCTGTGGCTCCGACCATCTTTTTGGAGGGATCAAAAGGAGTCAAAATTAGGCACCTGGGGAATGCTAAGGACCGAGACAAAAAGTTATTTTCGCAGACATTTGTCTATTAAATACTCGGCTGCTTTTGATAATACGTTCGAGTTCAGTGTTGTTTGGAAAAGCAACTGAAGGCGGTGGTGAGCAAGAGAGTTGGCATTTCTCCTTATACCTCAGTCAGGTCAACTGTCACTAATAACACTGCAGGCAATATCAGTGAGGTGATCCCTTTAAATTCGTTTGCTAGCTCACAGTCTTTCAGCATTCAAGCCGCTGAGACAACTATCAATATATCATAACCCACTGCTTGTACAATGAATAGCGGAATTACAAAACACCATTATATTCAACTCTCGAACTGTCCAGTCCTCGAATAGTGTGGATTCGTGATGGTTCTGGAGTGCATACAAAAGCAATGGCATCAGGAATGTGACAAAATAATTTGCCTCTGTTTACCGTGTTTCCACCAGGATTCGTTACTTGAACTAAATTATGAAGTTCCATCCCCATCGATGGGCAGGTTAAGGGTAGAACTCTTATCTGATTCTGCATACAAATCGACACAGAACATTAATATTTCGGCCGATTGGAGCACACTGACAGTAACTGAAGAGCATACATCAATCTCATGGCCATTTACCTAAGTCCGGCGTTAAAATTTCCGCAGAGATATAATTATGTCGTTTAAAGTGTCATCATCTCACAATGGCAAGGATGATCAATATGTTAACAGGATAATCCGAATTCAGCTATTTCACGTATTCTCCTCAAACGTTTACACGCAATTAGATGAATGGCTAGATTACATACAGAAACATTCAAGATGCATTGTCATTTAATGATGGAAAACGGTCAAAGTTCTTCTGATGCTGGCCGGTATTCCGCTTAGAGGAATGTCGCCAACTGCCACACCAAGGCAGGGCAAGACTGGCGACGAACTTGGTCTGTTTAAACAAAGTGGGTTTCACTCACCTAATTGACGAAGCCTCAGCGAACTGAAGCAGGCGAGCGGCGCTCTGTCGGTTGATTATCCTAAATGATCCACGTGGGTTTTCACACATGAAGTCAATTATGTGCTGGGCGACTGAACTGTCATACAGCTTCGAAACATTCGCGACTTGATTTTGCGAAAAGTGCTCTAAAATCTTTGTGGACCGTCTCCTCTCAATTCGGCCGACGTACTCGATACCGAAATATAGTGTAACATCTGTGAAGGGAAGGTCTTACATGACATGATCTAATCGTTCTCAGTTTGCTTTTTGCAACACTTCGGGATCTTTGTGAATTCATGCCGAAAAAACGGACTTATCCACTCGTGGGATTACGTCACATCGATAGCACTATACTGTGAATGAGCGACGCATCAGTTAATCGGCACGGAGCCCGTCGTGCACTAGACGCACTTGATTGATTTCGCCATCACTAGCTGATCTTTCACTGGCATCCTCCGCGTCAGAAGACAAGCTGTGGATCTGAGACGTCTGCACTTTTCGAAAAATTAAATTATGCTTCTGAGTCGTGAAATCCAAAAGCGAATGTCAAAGGCATTTTTGCTCTTGTTCGGACTCATTACTAATGGTCAGCGCTTGTGTCATCCAACAAGGCTAATTCTAAATCTTGAATCCAGTTATGTTGGTCACTGATGACCTTGAAATTGAAATCACTTCGGACATTTTAAGTTTACGAACGACATTATGATGTTGTGAGCGATTGATAACAAAGGACCTGCGAATTACTTCATGAAGATAACGGGAGCGAAAGATTTAGTCCATATGCGTCTTCAACCAACTAGTGTATCAAAGCTTACAGATGGTCTTTCAGAAAGTTGCTTCTAATGGTAACTGAGATATAAGCGAAGATAGTAGAACCCGGAACTAACACGTCAGTTCTTTTTAGAATGCATCCGGATGGTGTGACTCTGTCAAATTTCCTCAAGTATTCAAAGCTGACTTGCGGCTTCATCTAAAACATGCTACCCAGGCCTGGCAATTCAGGTGGAAATGCGGGGCTGCGGAACTTTAGACTACCCAGTGGGAAGCAACGATAAAAGCTAACGGCATGTTTCATCTTCTTCAGTAGTTTAGGGTAAAATCACGGAGTGTACAGATAATAGTGTCGGTATTTACTGGGCGACCTAGTAATGACGCATTAAGTTCAAGAGAACCTAAAAGTAGTTGGTCAGCGCTTCAGCTTCAGGGCCACGGGGTAAAATTAACGGCAAAATATAGCTCGCTGGAATGCGGCCGCCATTTTCCTCTTCTGTGATTATCAGCCGTAAAGTGTCATCGCAATCTATGTTATTTTTGTACGGACTAGCAGTGATACTTACAAAGTTGGTGTGAATTCACACTAACTCATTTACCTTTGGTAATGTCGCCGCTGTTCATCAGTAGTTGACGCTATACAAACAAATAATGTGCTCATCTTGTAGATAAGAACTGGATAATTAATTTGCGCTCAATTGAACTGCAGATTGAATTCACCGACATGCCCTGTAAATTCTCTGCATGTCTATTGCTCACCGTTGTCGATTTGATGGACTTGTTAAGCGTTTGTGTTTTACCTGAAGTGGACATCCGTTCCATTCGTCTATTGGCCGCATGCAACTGAAGAGGTCAAATAAGGACAAAGTCTGTCCAACACAGAGGATATGTTGACCTCATACCAAGTCAAAATTCTCCGTGTCTCAACTATGGTCTTAGTAAATCAGGGTACCAATTTCGGCGGTCGGGGAAGTGTTGCTTACCCTTGGTGTTCTGTTACGCAAACAAGCGTACATTGGGTGAACCAGGCCCAGCGATTATGGCCGGTCAAAAACTGCTCTGCATTTGAGTATGCATGTTTAGGCAGACGATGTTAAAGTGCATGATTCGTTTTAGTTGTAACCCGAGAAACCAAACTTCAACTCTAAGTTGGACTGTCCAATCTGATGCAAGCAACCAAGATCAAGAACGACAACTGGAAGCAACTGGGGAAGGAATAATTTCCTGACATGCACTCACCGCCGAAACGGTCCCACTGGTTGAGACAACCAGTGTTATACAACGGCCTACGTCCCAGTCTAACCTTAGTTTACGTACGGAAGCTAAATGTGTGGTGTGTAATCTGGCACACCAATGAATTCCTGACTAAGCGTGGCTCTGTACATCCAATGATCTAAGAGAACAGATATCTACCCCAAAGCTAAAATGCATCGGGCTAACTCTTTCCGAAGAGAATAAATCGGGACGGCAGTGGGCACACATTGGGACGATGAAGACGAATGGCTCCCTAACATTGCGGGTTTTGACCACAGTTCGAGTACCGGGCGCTTCCGTGGATTCTATTAAGCGATGTCTGAGTCTCGAATGAGAATATCAGTCCCAATCCAAGTGTGATTTCGGCTATCCAATCCAAATATACCATTGGGAGATTCGAAAATCAATTAGACGAAGGTACCACTGTACCCCAGTAATGCATCATCACCACTGTTTATAACACAACAAGAATTTTATACAACAGTACATTGCTTAAGTCTTTTATCGCCTTATATAAACGTTAAGCTGGTGTCCAGTTCAATGCACCGGTAAGTCGAGTTTATGTCGACTTGCGCTATGTCGACTATTTTAAACGCACAACCGCTCGTAGCGCACTGATTCAGCTCGTTTTACTCCACTGCCATATCAGACCTGCAGCATCGGCAAAACCGTTGATTGCTACACCCGCTTCATTCCAATTTTCATCAAGTGATGGTAAGTATAACAATGATGCGACCGTTCAAGTAAATGATGCTTTGCTGTCGGTGAAGAACAATAATTTTAACTAGTTCAGAATGGGGCAGTGACACATTGGTTTTATATGGATAAACAGCCTACCCGTAGCAGGGTTTAAATACAAAAATCTACACTCAAGGGATACTCGCTCAGCTAAAGTACTTGTTGGTAGAACCATCATAAGTTCGATGTTTCCCGATCGTTCTCTTCGGGACAACGTTTCTGGGAAGCACGCACGAGCACCGAGGTATTCGTCTAGTTGAACATCCTGCTTACAGAGTGTGATGACGAAAGGCTGTGGAACTATGCACTTTTGGACAATTCTATACAAGGCTTGTACAGGAGCCAACCACATCTAGGAAGTATAATCGTGATGCAAAAGGAACTGAGAGCTAAGGGAAATACAAAATGTTTCGTTCTAAAAATGTGTACACCATTGGCTTCGGTTTTATCGAGTACTAAACTGAATCCGATGAGGTGTTAGCGGAACCAAACTGAAAAGACTTCGTGTGCAAAACATCGTTCATTATTCGTCTATCCAGTGGTAATGTTCTCATTGAGAAATCAGAGGGACCAAATTTTCAGAAGTTGGTAGCTAACAGTGGACGCTGCAGTCATGACCGTTTGCAAACCCTTCCTTCAGCAAGATTTAGTCTATTGATCAGGTATACTTCATTCTACACAGTTCCACATTACGTCTGTGATTTGACTCACATTTAGTACCCAGGTCTAGTACTCGAATTTTGCTTCAGTGACAACGATGCACTTCAAGTCGTGGATGACTTGAAACACATTGTCTAGGGTAGAGCTGACTGGTGAACAATCCAGCTGTCACTGATCATCTCTCGTTGAATTTTATTGCAAATTCTGTTTTATTTTGGCGTCTGCAGGTTCAAGTGGCGGAGTACATGCCGAAGGTAAAACAGTAGCCTCCCTTGCTCACCACATCAGGGTGACTGTAGTGTGGCTTTTCAATGCACCACAACCCGATATGCACCGTGCGCATGTGTTAAACACAGTTTGCCTTTTTAATTTTCATTTCTTTAAATGCTAGTAATATCGTATGCATATGGTTTGTCTCATATGGTGATTTTGGTGATTAGATCTTTCGCATTATTCTCAAAAGATTGGCGTCTTTGTTGCTCAGCCGATTTCGGTTCATTGGTAGAAGACATCTCAGTCCTGCCAATGGTACTGCTTCGTGATGTGAGTCCTCATGTGTCTCGGTTGCCGTACGTAATAAAAGATAAGCAGAAAACTGTGTCTCCACTCGTTTACCTAACGCTCTTGTGGCAGATGTTTTAATACTTGCTGCGAGCGCTATCAGCGTTTGATCTGTGCTACACTAAAACCAGTTTGCGCACTTAATAATGAGCACTGAAGAGGTTTCCTTGCTTGGTCGCGGAGGGTCTGCAGCTGTTTAGTACAGTAAGGCTTGGAAACGGTTGACTGGAGCGCTATTAAACTGCGCTTCACTGCTGACATGCGGGCATGTCATGTCGGGTAAATCTGTGTACAACTGGAATGGCATTTTGTAACATTAGCTGTTAATGCAAGGTATGGTGAAACGCTCGAATGTTTCATTTATAAATGAAACATTTGCGGTGACTGTAGCAACTCCATGAAACGTCCTTACCATTGTATTACCATCGTTCTCCAGAGAATACTGTTCTAACCGTTAACTCATTTGTAGATGGACTATATTCTTTCTGTTCTATCTGTTACAGGGGTACTTGTCTCAACGAAAGCTCAGCCCCATTCTTACAAGTACCTAAGTACGGCATTGTTTCGCACCTATAACTATCGCAAGTAAAGCGATGGTATAATTCCATAAAACCTTGCTGAAGTTCCACTTTGGAAGTTTATTTACAGGACGAAATTCGGGTCTGGTGCCATTCCGGATTGGTAGCTTACTTATGGGGCTTGGATTCTAATTGCGACGAACCAAGTCGAATCATACCCAAATCCGTCTACTCACTAGTAATCAAAATCTACGCCCTACCAGTATTCAACATTGCTGTGTAGGTTCACGGCGCTGGCAAGGGAATACCTGACCTTGGCGGCCAACCACTGTCCTTTGGGCGGACAATAACGTGCACCGCAGCGGAGGATGGGTCGGGCTACTTCGCAGTTAGACTTCAGTTCGTAATGGTCGGCTGTCGTCCCCCATGGCTCAGTGGCATAAGCTGCTGTCTAGTTGGCGTTAGCCTCTAGCAGTCCTGGTACGATCCCCAGTAGGTGACCGATGGATGCGCACCACTGACGAGCCCCAATAGGGCGAAACGCACGTCTGGTGTTTTTCCGGATTGGTAGCTTACCTATGCGGCTTGGAATCTAATTGCGACGAGCCAAATCAAATTATTTACAGGATTGTTATTTGCAGCTGCAGTTCTTTTATAATTTTTCCTCTGCTCTTCGAAGCATTCGGATGTGGTGTACCCCATTTCTGTTCCCTCAGTAGCACGGCTGCATGCACACATGTGCCTTGATTTCTACTGCCTTCGATTTCTCACAATGCCATGCTGCATTATGAACCGCACAACCCTACTTTCGCACAGCTATACTTTCTAATAAAAACTCCTTCCACTATGTTTGGCATTCAGTTCATCGTTTCCTCTTCCCGTGCAGCAACCGAGCAAGCTCAAAGAGTCGTTGGATTCGGACGCATCCTATCAAACTCCTGTGGACATTCAGGGCGAAGTGGAGCTATCGTTGGAATACGATTCACACCAAGGCAGACTAGCTGTCATGTTGTATGGAGCGAGGAATATTGCAGCTGTGGATCGTAAAACAGGGACAAGCAGTCCGTAAGCTTTAGTATGCTATGAATGGGAAGCAGTTTGCCATTCAACTTGATCTAAATGTATGGTGGTTTACTGATGGGGACCCAACAAACACGATTACGCTTGATTGCAATGATGGAATGTTGTTCATAGCTCAATGCGTGAGAGCGGCTACATGTTGCATGAATTTGAGCATTCATTTCTTCCTGAATCTTGTTTGGTGTTAAACAAACTTCGTTAATCTAATGTAATGGTGCAAAGGTCAAGCAGCGAAATTATACTCTTTACCCACTTCCCCACAGCGGTTAAGTTTGAGATCTCCGATTTCTGATAATCCTGAGCAATTTTGCTTAAGCAATACCAGTCATGAGGTGCTGTGAGAAACAAAAAGAAAATCAGCAAATTTCCTCTACTATCTACCTCCCCGCTTTTGTCTTAAAAGCAACGAACTATACTATCTAGTCGAAACACGCTTAAAGTGGCTACCAAATGCTTTCGTGTAGCGTTCTCACCAGTACCGCAAGATCTCAGACTGGTTAAGTTTACTGTTTCTCAAAAGTGTGCTAAACGCCTGTCTATGGGCGCATTCAGTGAACCGATGGACGGTAGTGTTGTCTTAACCTCGCACTTGTTAACTTCCATTTTGATGGCTAATAGTTTAACAAATAAATCGGTAAGTATTTGACCGTACATTCCCCTATTGCATCTATAGAGTCGAATGTAATCGTTCATCAGCTCAATTAATTCACGCTGGTCGGCCAGTTTTCAAAAATTACCTTCTACACAGCGCTACACATATAGAGCAGTAGTAGTAGTAGTAGTAGTAGTAGTAGTAGTAGTAGTAGTAGTAGTAGTAGTAGTAGTAGTAGTAGTAGTAGTAGTAGTAGTAGTAGTAGTAGTAGTAGTAGTAGTAGTAGTAGTAGTAGTAGTAGTAGTAGTAGTAGTAGTAGTAGTAGTAGTAGTAGTAGTAGTAGTAGTAGTAGTAGTAGTAGTAGTAGTAGTAGTAGTAGTAGTAGTAGTAGTAGTAGTAGTAGTAGTAGTAGTAGTAGTAGTAGTAGTAGTAGTAGTAGTAGTAGTAGTAGTAGTAGTAGTAGTAGTAGTAGTAGTAGTAGTAGTAGTAGTAGTAGTAGTAGTAGTAGTAGTAGTAGTAGTAGTAGTAGTAGTAGTAGTAGTAGTAGTAGTAGTAGTAGTAGTAGTAGTAGTAGTAGTAGTAGTAGTAGTAGTAGTAGTAGTAGTAGTAGTAGTAGTAGTAGTAGTAGTAGTAGTAGTAGTAGTAGTAGTAGTAGTAGTAGTAGTAGTAGTAGTAGTAGTAGTAGTAGTAGTAGTAGTAGTAGTAGTAGTAGTAGTAGTAGTAGTAGTAGTAGTAGTAGTAGTAGTAGTAGTAGTAGTAGTAGTAGTAGTAGTAGTAGTAGTAGTAGTAGTAGTAGTAGTAGTAGTAGTAGTAGTAGTAGTAGTAGTAGTAGTAGTAGTAGTAGTAGTAGTAGTAGTAGTAGTAGTAGTAGTAGTAGTAGTAGTAGTAGTAGTAGTAGTAGTAGTAGTAGTAGTAGTAGTAGTAGTAGTAGTAGTAGTAGTAGTAGTAGTAGTAGTAGTAGTAGTAGTAGTAGTAGTAGTAGTAGTAGTAGTAGTAGTAGTAGTAGTAGTAGTAGTAGTAGTAGTAGTAGTAGTAGTAGTAGTAGTAGTAGTAGTAGTAGTAGTAGTAGTAGTAGTAGTAGTAGTAGTAGTAGTAGTAGTAGTAGTAGTAGTAGTAGTAGTAGTAGTAGTAGTAGTAGTAGTAGTAGTAGTAGTAGTAGTAGTAGTAGTAGTAGTAGTAGTAGTAGTAGTAGTAGTAGTAGTAGTAGTAGTAGTAGTAGTAGTAGTAGTAGTAGTAGTAGTAGTAGTAGTAGTAGTAGTAGTAGTAGTAGTAGTAGTAGTAGTAGTAGTGGTAGTAGTAGTAGTAGTAGTAGTAGTAGTAGTAGTAGTAGTAGTAGTAGTAGTAGTAGTAGTAGTAGTAGTAGTAGTAGTAGTAGTAGTAGTAGTAGTAGTAGTAGTAGTAGTAGTAGTAGTAGTAGTAGTAGTAGTAGTAGTAGTAGTAGTAGTAGTAGTAGTAGTAGTAGTAGTAGTAGTAGTAGTAGTAGTAGTAGTAGTAGTAGTAGTAGTAGTAGTAGTAGTAGTAGTAGTAGTAGTAGTAGTAGTAGTAGTAGTAGTAGTAGTAGTAGTAGTAGTAGTAGTAGTAGTAGTAGTAGTAGTAGTAGTAGTAGTAGTAGTAGTAGTAGTAGTAGTAGTAGTAGTAGTAGTAGTAGTAGTAGTAGTAGTAGTAGTAGTAGTAGTAGTAGTAGTAGTAGTAGTAGTAGTAGTAGTAGTAGTAGTAGTAGTAGTAGTAGTAGTAGTAGTAGTAGTAGTAGTAGTAGTAGTAGTAGTAGTAGTAGTAGTAGTAGTAGTAGTAGTAGTAGTAGTAGTAGTAGTAGTAGTAGTAGTAGTAGTAGTAGTAGTAGTAGTAGTAGTAGTAGTAGTAGTAGTAGTAGTAGTAGTAGTAGTAGTAGTAGTAGTAGTAGTAGTAGTAGTAGTAGTAGTAGTAGTAGTAGTAGTAGTAGTAGTAGTAGTAGTAGTAGTAGTAGTAGTAGTAGTAGTAGTAGTAGTAGTAGTAGTAGTAGTAGTAGTAGTAGTAGTAGTAGTAGTAATAGTAGTAGTAGTAGTAGTAGTAGTAGTAGTAGTAGTAGTAGTAGTAGTAGTAGTAGTAGTAGTAGTAGTAGTAGTAGTAGTAGTAGTAGTAGTAGTAGTAGTAGTAGTAGTAGTAGTAGTAGTAGTAGTAGTAGTAGTAGTAGTAGTAGTAGTAGTAGTAGTAGTAGTAGTAGTAGTAGTAGTAGTAGTAGTAGTAGTAGTAGTAGTAGTAGTAGTAGTAGTAGTAGTAGTAGTAGTAGTAGTAGTAGTAGTAGTAGTAGTAGTAGTAGTAGTAGTAGTAGTAGTAGTAGTAGTAGTAGTAGTAGTAGTAGTAGTAGTAGTAGTAGTAGTAGTAGTAGTAGTAGTAGTAGTAGTAGTAGTAGTAGTAGTAGTAGTAGTAGTAGTAGTAGTAGTAGTAGTAGTAGTAGTAGTAGTAGTAGTAGTAGTAGTAGTAGTAGTAGTAGTAGTAGTAGTAGTAGTAGTAGTAGTAGTAGTAATCTCGTCTAGTAGATAGACATAGAGCCTACAAAGCCATAGAGATTAGCTGATAAGGAGCAGAGTCCCCACATCATAATCATCGTGGCACGTAGTTGAAGGTGAACAGCACACTTCAGCTACTGTGCCGCAGGAAGAAAGGAACGTTTTGACAAATAATAGAACAAAACATTTTTAGTTTGTTTTCACACGCCGATTTTTCTCTTTTTTATCATTTCCAATGTTTGAAGATTACGCATGTGAATCAATACAATCCTGCACACAACTTTTCCACTGGTTCCGGTTGCGGGCGCTGTCTTCAAGCGTGTTAAGCCATTGAACTCCTCACCTTTGGGTCCCCATACTGGAACACATACGTGTCCAACGGCGGCTAGACGCATCTTCAGCGATTTTATGTGCTATCGCGTACATTCATCCACTGCCCGTTTCTAGCATCTTAATTTGCTGCGTATTCACCGACGGAATTACTTACTGTGAATTCCATGCTTGGCATCTATTCTGAGAAATAGCGTATCTCCATGCACAACGAGATACACCTGGCATTTGTAACTCAGCGCATTGCAAGTCATCGCCTACCTACAGTTTTTGCCGTGCTTGCTGTGTAATCTAATAGATCTCCACACCGAGTCGGTAGAAAACACACTGCTACTGAGTATCGAAGTTTAAAATAACCACCAAGCACTATTCTAGACAGTTCGCACTAAGCTAAGTAAACTCAGGTTTAGCGGTGTTTCTGTCAAGCGATAAGATTGCACGCATTCTCTTCAAATGGCGCAGTGTTTCTACAACCCGCGACCTTCACTGAGTCAGCTGAGCGATGTTTGATAGCCTACGGTTGCATTTCGATTAGCACACTCGAAACAGTGCACTTTTAGGTTACATAATGAAGAGTCAATGTGATCACCGAGCTGCACATTTGCGACTAGTGGGGAAGTATAAGTGGTTGGGGTGCAACAATCGCCACCCAACGTACGTCGTCGTATTCAGTATGAACTGAATGTTAGCTGAGGTGGTAAGTCAGCGAAGCGAGTGAATATGAATTACTAGTAATGCAGAACCACCCCTGAATGACTCTCTCAACACTCTCCGATGTACTAAACTCGGGAAAACATTTGTCTCAGAAGAACATAGTATTTCATGTTGGGAGACCATTTTACGCTTGTTCTTTTCATGAAGATGTTGCATCACTTCTCTAATGGTAACGAGTACTATGGAAGTATGGTACTATGGTTTATTACGGGTAAAAAAGCGTTACTTAATAAGTCCCGTAGGATGGAAAGTATTGTGAAAATCAATTGCATGATAAAGTGAAAAGCGTTGTGGTGGACTCACCATAGACTTATGCGGAATAGCAGAGATGTTCGCGTATTAAACATATAAATCCATAAATCCATTGGTTAGGCGTTTGGCAAGACACCGTTTGATTGTGTTTTGTAGCCCCTGGCTAACAAGTCATAAAATGAAATGTAAGTGAGACAATGCATCGTCAACACGATTTTTAAATATCGCCAGATTGGGAGCAGAGACGACATAATTAGGGAGGGCGTTCCAAGGCTGGCACACGCGGAGAGAAAAGAAATTTCTACGGCATTCAAGCCGGTTATACTGAATTGTCAGTTTCAGAGGGTGACCTCTTAGTTTAGTGTTGTGGTTCAATTCCTGCAGCGGACGGCAAATGTGGTTTGGGTTCTTCAGAATCTGGTAAACCATTATGAGATGCCCCCACAAAAGCCGAAATCGACTGCTGTACATTCTTAGAGATATCAGTCTAAGCTGATAGGGCAGATGAAAGAGGCCCATGACATTCTTGGTTGCCCTTCGTTGAGGAGTCTCGAAAGCAACGAGGTCCTGTTTCTGCCACGGCTGCCACGCCTGAATAGCATATTCCACGTGAGGTCGCACGTAGGCGTTAAGCATTTGGGGAAAGATTGAGGTTTCAAACCGACCGTAGGCTCTGCGAAGAAGGCCGAGGTGATGATTTCCGGTTCTCGTCGCATTCTCTGCTTGTTTTGAACACCCGAGATCTTCCTGCACCAATACACCCAGGTCAAGCTCCTGAGAAACCTTCGCCAAGGTGTGGTCTCCAATCTTGTAAGCGCTCACCGGCTGGTGACGCAGATGCATCACTTTGCACTTAGCCATGTTCAATTGAAGCTTGTTACTCTTTGACCATTCATAAATGCAATCTAGGTCATGTTGGAGCAGATCCTCATCTGCCTTGTTACTAATCGCCCGCCATATCTTGACGTCATCGGCGAAAAGCAGGAAGTTTGAGGAGATGACTCTTGCCAGGTCGTTGATAAACACCAGGAATAAGCGCGGTCCCAGCACTGAGCCTTGTGGGACACCACATTCCACCTCAATTGGGTTAGAAAGTGATCCCCTAACACGTACTTGAAGCTTTCGTTGGTAAAGGAAGTTGCCAATCCAACCAAGTACAGGATCTCCGATTCCGTAACTTTGTAGCTTTGAAGTAGGATGCGGTGATCAAGGCGGTCGAAAGCTTTGGAGAAGTCCAGATAGATGACATCGACTCCGACCCCATCATCGGCCACTTCCGTCCAATTACCTCGTGCAATAAGTAGGTTGGTGGTGCATGACCGGTGTTGACGGAAGCCAAGCTGTTCCGGTACCAAGATGTTGCATTTTTCCAGGTAGTCCATTAAAGTCTCAGCGACGACTGCTTCCATCACCTTGGCGAGCACAGGGAGGAGATTCACTGGACGATAGTTTGCAGGATCTGAACGGATACCGCCTTTAAAAATAGGGGTTATAATGCCACACTTCCACATAGTGGGGACTTGTTGTTCATCAAAGCACCTTTGGAAGAACTGTGACAGTGGTTCAGCTAGCTTGGTGACCGTAGCCTTCAGTGCCTTCGGGCGGATGTTGTCTGCTCCCGGAGAACTATGCTCACGCAGTGAGAGTAACTTCCTTAGCACAATTGATGGGTTGAAAATAACATTTGTAAACAAAGGTGTCGGTAACGTGCTTGATATTATGGAACAGGTAGAGGTTGCGAGTTCAAAAATTGGAGCGTATTGAAGCCGCAGGGTATTAGCTGCTTCTTCGGCGCTTTGTACTCTACCGCCTGTCGTGAAAAGTGGGGATTACATGCTTCACTTTACGAAGCTTATTGACGTGCCTATATAGCAGTTTGTTGTTTGCCATGAATTTTTTGGATAGGCTCTGTTGATAAGTTACTTTGTCCTCACGGACAAGTGCAGTGCAATGGTTGCGATGGGTCAGGAAATTTCCCCAAGTCTCTGAGTCGGGGTTAATCTTGTAGGCATGCCATGCTGCATCCCTTATCGCCAGGCATTTGCGAGACCTACTCCTTATAATTGAAGGCATTTTCGCGGGACGAAGGGGTTTGGTCTCTGATGCTCTACTGACGATGTCGCTGAGTCTATTAACGAACTCTGCGCAAACGTTGTCAAGGGGACTTTTGTTTAAGAATTCCCAAGCAGCTGTGTCGGCTAGTTCTTTCAATACATGGTAGTGTGTGATTGTATGAGTTAGTTCCGAGTGTTCAGATGGATACTCTGCATAACACACATAGTCAAAAGTTGTTACTACATGGTCACTGAGACCTAATGGACTATCCATCAATAACCTGTCAACCATGAGCTCTTCATTCGTGAGCACAAGGTCCAGTATGGACGGTTTGTTTGCTGTCCTGAATCTAGTGGGCGTGGTGACATGATTGTACAAAGGAATATTAGTGATCAGTTCCTGCAAGTCTGCTTTGAACTGCTCACTGGGCGATGCCGAAACCACCAGATTGTGTAGATTGAAGTCACCGGAGATGAGAATGTGGCTGTACCTAGTGCGTGTTACTCTGTTTAGACCACGGATCAAGCAGGAATCCATTTCCGGAGTGGACGTTGTGGGGGCGGTAAACGGCAGCTACAGTAGTAGGCTTCCGGAGCCGGTAAACGAATTGATGTTGTCAAATGAGCTCTCACCTTACCAGTGTACGCATCCAACCTTGTCATTCCCTGCCATCGAATGGGAGTAAACGTCTAGCATGCAACCGACCGGTAATCGAAGGGATTAGATGCCTGCTTTGTAGTCCAGAAGTCGCGAGTGGCTTCGCGGTTTATTAAGCCCTCGCGCGACTGTCGGTTCACGTGACAGCAAGACATCGGTACGCTGTGTCGCCTTACTGTTTGTGCCCCAGTGTGCGATAAGACCCCATGTAGTCTAACTACGGCAACTGTGTATCGTATGTGCGACACTTACCGCGGTGTTGGTGTGCTTAGCTAAATTAATGGAAATAGTGTTTCTTAGCTGTGAATCCACATACCCATTCAGATTACCCCGCACTTTCGACCTGAGCTTTTCGTGACCACATTGGTAACCTGTTGGGTCCGCATAACAGGAACACGCGGTACAAAATACTACGGTGTTATGTGGATAATGCCGGTAAATTTATGTCCACTTTCAACGGTTACCAATGCACTAATCACTGTTAGATCACTGGTGAGACAGCATTCTTTTCTTGGTCATGTCACTGTCAGCGTTCCAATACCGGCACTTCTGGGTAACTGAGCTCAACAGTTGCTCGTGGCCAACACTCTCTGAATGTGTGATAACAGCGCTGCGTCTTTTCTTCTGCGTTCACCTGGCCTTACGGTAACTGTTGCAGTAGCCTGCTTGCATCCACTCTGCAGACATGATCAAACCATCTAAGGTGTTGCCGAAATACTGTACAGTCCATTTCCTACAATTCTCCTCCCCGAACGTCTTAGGCGTCATGCAATTTGTTCCTCTAGGAGAATTGTAATAAATGTCCCAGACGTTGCTGTCAAAGTCGTTCAAGTCAGTGGATGCTCTACTCGCGAATTGCGCATGTTACTCTTTGTAAGGAGGATTGGAAGCCCTAGCAATATATATAACGTATTTTCCCCAACGGATTTCCAGGGCTTGCTCCACACACGATTAGCCGGTTTGCTCAATACCGCACTTGTTTTCGCTACACAAGTGTAGGGTCCGCAGTTTTTCGGCAACTTTCCTGACAGCGTGGTTTTCGGGTAACGTAAGTGGGTTTTATTCTGTAGTATCTTTTCACTAATCAGATTTGAGGAGCATACATTGAATTCACTGCTGCTGCTGCTGCTGCTGCTGCCGCCTGCATTTACCGACGGACAAATAGGTAGTAAATATGTAACATTTCCAGAATGCTCAAGTGAATATTACTACTGTTATCCGTAGTATTGATTCATAACAAACAAATGCTACTGCTTCTGTTCAGAATGGCCAAAGTATATCTGCAGCCAGATCCAGCCAAAGGCACAGAGAGAAAAATCAACTGTAAAGGACACACGTGCTCACCGGTGTTCAATCAAGCCGTGTGTTACTCCGTTTCCCCATCTGAATTGGCCTCACATACAGTAGTCGTGGAACTCTGGCACAAGAAATCACCATGGGGCAAATTGTTTCTGGGTGAGGTGGCTGTTCCGCTACAAAACCACAAATGGGACAACACGGAGAAGAAACGACTTGCTCTTCGTGATAAGGTGAACGGATGCATGTAGTGGCATTGCTGCTTGGCTGAATTACGTTTGTGTAGTACCTTTTAGCCATTTTCGATGCCAGTGTTCTGTTTAGTATACGATAGGTGAATGCAAATTTATTTGCTGACTGATCTTTGCCTTTGAGGGGTTTCATAACCATTTTCCTGACTTTTGTGAGCGGCATGTTCGCTTGGGACGCGAGCAACTCATAATACTGTCCGGTACAAGGAAAACGAGATCGGAAGTTTCTACACTACTATTAATGTACATGTCAAAATGCAATGGAGACATACCACAACAATACTCGATCAGCATAAAAACAACCGGGTCTTTGCAAGGCACAAAGAAATGCGAATCACCGCAAGATTACACAACACAGGGTCCGCGTGCGAAATCCCACGACTGTTTTATTGGGTCTCGTAACCCTACCCAATTGGTTCGCTGTACCGCGAGTACGGCGATGAAATGCGTGGAGTTCTAAAGTAATTTCAAGTGAGTGGGACTGATGTTTCAGGCAACTGTGGGATGAATGGAAGAAAAGAGGGTTGTGTCCTCGAGGCGATAATAATTCAATGTCGGAATATGTCATTGTGTGACCCATGGGAGAAGTATGCACTGTGTGGCAGTGTGCCGTTCTAACAGCTGGACTTGGAGTTAGACTATAAGGTCATCATATAGGTAAACACAAGGAGCTGGTAGGCCGGATTTCCGCAATGGCGCAGGTGTCAGGTGTGGTCAAGATCCTAGTATCAATCTTACGAATTGCATGGTAATTTCTTCGGTTACAAGGTTAGTCCACAATCCTTAAACTATGGTCCAATGTCCCAATGAGCTGTCCCTCTATCATACAGCTTCAGTAAACAAGCAAGTGTTGATGTCGCAGCTGCTTCATCTACTCCAATTCATCTTCATGGCAAGCAGTCTGATACTGCTTTGTGTCAGTGCACTTCCCGGATCGATTTAAAGCGAATCATCCAGATGATCACGTTGAGGGAAAATGTTAGGACTGCGTTCATCATTGGTCCTTACTCGTGGTTTCTAGGTCTATAATTTACCGAAAAGTCAACCTATCTAACTGGTATCACATTGCCGACAACCACAGTTACTTTAAGTACGTTTGAATTCATTGTTATGGGCGAGACACATGTCCTAAACAAAAACTTGCACACCTCGCAAATTATGCAGCAAAGTTTAGGTCATCTTCGTTTTGCTTTCGGCAAACAACTTATGATTAAGGTGGATTTTTCGATTTTGTCAGTGTTAATCTATCTGGATATGATCTCTCGATGAGTAAGTTCCCTTGTGAAACCATACGGCACCGGAGATTGCTTAAGATGCTTGGTCATAAGGACCCAACTGGAAAGCTGTTTCAACATTTGGTAACCATGTGTCCATTCCCATAATACGCCTGAATGGCAAACATGTGAAGCATCCCAATTTCTGAACGACTCAGCCTTGATAGCGATACTCACTCAGAAAATACCACTCTATTAATTAGTAATCATTTTGAGCATTCCATTTCGTGAACGAAATTTAGACGGGTGATCTCAATCCTAACCTGGACTTAATGTGAGTTGGAACATTGTCAATTGTCAGCCAATGGGAGCTCAACTGAGGCAGATAAATGTCAAGTGATGTCCTCCCGAGGCACTGCACTAGACGAGCGGATTTGCAATTTGTTGTACCCGTCACACAGCAGTGGGACATGAAGCACTGATGTTGGGATGACGGTAGAGGCATTTGCCTTTAGGCCACGGAGTCGCAGTGGAAGCATTTATCATTACGGTTAATGATTTAGTGGCAACATCTTGAGACGATCGCTCTGTAAATGGATTGTGAAGCGTACTCTCCTTCCGGACCTCAATTCACTTTGAAGTGAAATTGAGTCCATTTCGAGCACTGGGACCATACCTGAAGCAGATAATTATTGGGTATTGTCCCAGTACCAAACCAGTCGCGGAACGCAGTGGCGCGAACGAGTATCACCCAATAAATACTGTTCTGCTTGTGCACAAAATATTTTGGTAAGTACTTCGACAAAAACGTGTGGTGAGCACAAGATAGTTCTCTCAGACTTCCTAGGGACTTCCTCGCGGTCACTCTATGGCTAAAGCTAATGAACCTCGTCACTGTGTCGTATGACGACAGGTTGTTTGAGTAGGAAAACTGTAAGCTCCCAAACCCTTGGTTGACATTTCAGAATGGTCCATCGTAGATAACTAAATGTACCTTAGTTTATTAACTGTCCTTGCAAATATTACGCATAAATATATACACATTGAATCATGACCTCTGGTGTTCATATTTATGTTCATGTATTTCCATTGGCTCCTCAGCACCCAATAACAACCACGCTATCGAGTCCAACGTATCTGGGCGAAGTGAATGTGGGCCTGAGGTTTGTCCTAGCTGAAAAGTACAGAAAACTAGCTCAACTTTCAGAGGAGCGAACCGACTTTCCCGGAACGCTGGAAGTGCACGCAAACAGTGCGAGCAATCTGAGATCATATTCAGTGGGCACGAACCTCACCTCGTTCCTTAAAGTGTAGGTTATGGATTTGTTGATGCTGTGCCTAGTAAACCCATATTTGGTAATCAGGATTAATGCATCTAGCGAAGGCGAAACACAGACTTTTCACCATTGACGGTGAAGGAATTTGGGAACTTGCAAACTTGTGACCAGTTGTAAAGTTGAGGACACAAATAAACAATCTACTAACCGTTGACAGTGTTCATAATGCTGGATGAAATGGTTGTTACGAACGTTGACGCTTTTAAGCAATTTCACCGCCTATGTAAGCAGTGGGTACCGTTTCACATGGGTCTTTGCATAAAACGTAGCGCATTCCATTTATGTGCGAAAGATGCTGCATACCACTTGAGTCATTCGCATCATTGATGTGGTGTTATACTAAAACTCCCCAATCTGTGTCCGTGTTTCTTGCTTGTATTCAACTCGGAAAGAGAACAGAATTAGACACGTAAGTAGTAATACTGCAGGTACTATTTAACTCTTCTCACCAGCACAATTCATTCAAATCTCATTAATATACCAGACGATTGGATTTAATGGTTTATTTTAATTAATGGGACTATCTTATCTTATTTGTTTCCTTCAAACGAATGTGTACGAAGTGTATCGTTAGAGCCACGTTTAGTTGTGACGCCTAACTCACCTATATTGAAATAATCTCGTCGAAATTGAAGAGGGAGAACAATAGCGGCAGTGATGAAGCTTAGAACGGTAGATAATTCCAAATTAAGCTGACCTGCTTATTGGTGTTTCAAAACGTCTCACTAGTTCCACAGACGCTGTGGGTTGCATTAATAGATAGGAGCACATTTTGCTAAGTTGTGCGACAATTTCCTGCATTTATTGTTTACTAATTATTCATCGACGTTTTCCTTAGATCACTGATAGTTGAAGGAAAGGAACTGGAAACTCATTCTACTTATGCGATGCCAAAAAGCAACAAACCCCGGTGGAACACGGTGCTTCGATTTGACGATTTGGATCAGAGCGAGTTACTTGCCATTGTGTTACAGATATCCGTTTGGAATCAGTCGTATCCTACTAAACCCGCTGAATTTTTGGGTGGAATCCGATTGGGGAAGAAGCCCGGTGGGTTTTGGTTAGCACAAATTCGAATGTTTCCTTTGAATCATTATGATAATCGCACCGATGCTGGTTACTCCTGAGGGGGTAGTCAATTCCATTTGAGACTTAATGACGAAGCTAATCAGATTCTAGTAGAAAACTTAGTGACTGGCTTACCGCGTCCATGCGTAATCGTACAAGGAACCTGAGGGATGTGTTGTTGATCGGCTGCATTTGATTTCAAAAGCAAGAGTCAATACTCTAGTCATTTACCGGGAATGCTTGGGAGTATTAAGCTTGGGAAAGAAGTGGTAATCATGCTCATCAGCTGATCCTTGTGGAGCCAGTGTTACAAGCGTCTGAACGGTCATTACCTTTGAGTTTATCATGAGTCTATAATCATTGGTTGCTCAGTGTTTTCTGCATAAATGACGCAATCTTTCTCTGCTATACAGTGGAGTTGTCCGCTGCCATTCATGCAGCCTTGCATTAGGTAAACTAAAAACATTCAGTACAGCGCCGGCATCTGGTTGACAATTCCACTGATAAGATTTCAAGTGACATTCATACTACCTGTTATGTAGTGAGGGAGCAAGCTAATCTCATATATCAGCTCCTTGCCTTGTTTCAAACAGCACACGAGAACCCACATCTTGCACACCGTTTTAAAAGATCGATCCCACAGCATATATGGTAGCACTATCATCGTCGCTGCGCTGCCTCCGCACAACGGATGAAGACATCTTTTGCACGCAAGGACTCAGGTAAATGGGTCTTGTCACTTCTGTGATTTCTGTGCTGGCGGCACCAACAAACGGAAAGAAGCATGATGACATCGGGTCTGGAATTCAGTCATGACATGAGCAAATACGCGTCCACCGAGCTTCAGTCGTGTTCTTAATTAAACTGGCTCAATTTGTTGCGATGGTTGATTAATGGTAAAGCAACAAATTCTATCATCACTCACGGGAAAAATAGCTACGATAGCATCAGTCATGTTGCTTTGAGTATGGTTGGCGGCATCCGGTCCCAGATTTGCCCGTCACTGCGACCTCCATAGGACAGCCACTGGATGTCTGCGTCCAAATACAGCCCATACATGGCTAGCGTTACATCACCCACAGCTCCATCCACATATCCAATATCCAGTGAAATGCCGAAGGAATAAGACCGGGAAGCATGTGGGTGGGAGTCACGTTTCCTCAACGGAGACGGCCCACACTCCTTCAAAAACAACGGCAGCAACATTCCATTTAGACAAATTGGAGAATCACGAGTAAGTGAGGAACACAAGGCGATAGTTGGGCCGAAGTCCGCTCCACACTGCATGCATGTACTTAACCTTTGAGCCTAGTATAGCCACGAGGACCATACACACAATCCACCCTGGTACAGTTTCACTGCCCGCTGAAACGGGCAATCGAGGTGGATGGTACTGGACTGGTAAACACCTTGTCAAACTTCAAGCGCAATCGCACCGGGGATATCAAGCAAAAGCCATTCACTTGAAATGCTAGCAAGTCAACACACGTGCACACTTACAGATCACGTGCAATGTTGATGTTGCAAAAGAAACACCTCAACCTCCTTATTGGCCTGGATTAGCAACTCGAAAGAAAGCAGACGCAGCATACTTACGAATGCTGTGCTTATATTGATTAGATAATCATTTGACTCGTCGACTGTTGAATGCTGGCCCCACGTAGGTACCCTGGTGGCTTACTAGACCGGTTTCGCAAAGATACTCGCGACCGCATGTGCTAAAGCACCGTACGTTTGACGTCAAACAGGTAGGTTCCATCCTAGCACATCACTTCCTACTCCGCGTGCAATGGTGCACATTCCTGCACTTGAGCAACCGCCCTCTTGATAACCTCTAGTCACTCGCGCCGATACACTGTCATCAATACACAACACCTGAAATCATCATTAGTTCATGATAAACTCACTTTGATCATGTCCTGGTAACGTATTTTCGGTTTTCCCACCTACCACTTCCCTGTACTAAATTGTCCACATAAGAGCTGCTTAGGTATCCGCATCGAATCAATGCGGCGATATGTCACTGCTACCTTAGGTGTCGCAGCAGAATTATGCAGTACACTACATACATGTCGCTGCGACGTAGCGATTCCGTGTCTGCAAATCTGTCGCACCAACAGATGCACAGAATACGTAGCAGACATTGTTGACAAAACCGCCGCATATATCTGACCTCCTTCCGATACATGTAGCTTGTTTTGTGCCGCATAGAAGAACGACAGCACCATCGACTTGTATAGTATCAGCTTCATTTCAACGGTAAGCTGGCGATCGAACTATAGACAAATGTGGTAACCGCCTTTGACAAGCGGATACGTAGCTCTCTCATCCTCTACAGCTCGGTCGACACTGTGCTTCCTGGGTAGGAGGATCTCGAAGTGATTTTCAAAAACATCGTTGTTAATGTGGATTGCAGCAGAGTTGCTGATTCCTTTTCTGCTACAGGCTAGAAAAGCCAAATAGTCTTGCTTGTGTTGACAGTGAGTCTGAATTTGGACGCGGTCGAAGAGAGAGCCGAAGTCATTTCCTGCAACTCATCAGCGCTGCGTGCACAAATCGCGTATTCGACGGCTAACAGCAACACACAGATGTTTGTCTCACGTCCGCAAGCGACGGATACTGTGCGATCCACCTTCAATACGGCGCTCCACACGAACACCGTAATCCGAAGCAGCATCAAAAGAACATAATAACATGAAATTAAATATTAAACAGGGCATGGGCTAAGACACAGCCTTATTTCACAACAGATACAACACCAAAGTCATCCGAGGACGGTCCACAGAGGCGCAATATCGCCTGCAAATCACTGTACGGACATACAGTTAATAGTACAAACTAATTGAACACCCAAACTTTCCCAACATCACCCACAGTGCCTAGCGGTTCACCGCATCAAACGCCTTGGTGAAGTCTATAAACATCACGTACCACGGCTGGTGTCGCTGTCCGCATTTTTCCTGCAACTGACGAGGTGCCAACGCCATATATATGGTGCAACAGGTCGAACAGATACCGCATTGCTTTTCCGTCACATGCGGTGCAACGACCTTAGTTACGAGGTGGTTGAGTAGAATTCGTGTGATCACTTAACCTTCACTACTCAGCAAGTTTATGCTGCGTTATTTCAAACAACATTGCTTGCTTCCTTTACTCTTGTACAGTGGTAGCACAACGACATCACCCAGGTCAGCCGGCACTTGCACTTCCATCCACACGCGGTGCACCAAGTGGTGCAGCGCGTTTACCAACACGGGTCCGCCGTATTTCAACACTTCAGGCGGGATCCCGCCGGTTCCGGCATATTTGCCATTTCGCAGCGAAGCAAGTGCTCTCTGCATATCATCCATTGACGGTGTGCAAGCAAGACACAAAGGGCCTTCGCCAGAGCTGCAGTATTTATGCATTGTGTGCAGGTGGCGCCTGGAGTAGCATCGATCAACGTTCTCAGCTGTTACAACGCGGGTCAACACAGGGGGATAAAGAATTTTTCATGTTGGTGGCGTTCGGTGTAACATTCCATTTACTTCGGCTTCTCCGTCTACCATACATTCTTGATATGACGGGGCTCACGAATCAGCCACTGTCGAAGGTTGCAAAAATGCCTCTCATACTCTGCATCGGCATGGTCGTCTACATGCGCAGCGAACGCTGCATTCCTCACCGACACCAAAGCGTTAATGGTCGCAGTGTCGCTATCAAACCAATCAGGTCGCTAAAAATTTCCGAGTCCGATCGTCTCTTCGGCAGCAACAGCCACGTCTTCTAGGAAGTGTTTTCGCAGATCACTCACTGCGGCGATGTATTCGGCATCGCCAACGCGGATATCTATCGCCTTCTCCAGTTCCATCCCCTACTCAATAGTAACAAGTGAAAAAACATCAAGGTTGCGCCGGTTCGCGGCAGGCGAGCAATACATAGATTTATGAAAATATATGTCCAATGTGGTCCGCACCAACTAGTGATGGACGCTACACTCAGCTCCACGCAGTACAATTGTAATGTGCACGTAACGCATGTCACGCTGGTGTATGGTGACGTAGCCGAGCAGGTGGGGGTGACCATTCCGGGGGCTCTAAGTAGTTCTATCACTCGCACCCCGTGCAAACTGTGTGTTCGAGATCGTCAGGCAGCGAGTGGCGCAAGGTGACAGCAGCTGGTCACCGTCCCCGTCGGCTTAGCCAAAGCCACACGGAACATTTACATCTGTCCACACCGCTACATCATGCACAGCCCGCGCGTTGAAATCACCCAGAAAGAATAGCCGGTCGCTGTCCGGCACAGAACAACTGACCAAACTGACCACTCCTGTCTTCAGGATAACACATGGTAGGACCATACGTGCTGATAAAGGTGGCAAACTTATCTCTTTCGAGTCGCCAGCGAAGTGTCCTCAATCATGGACTGGTGCCGGTCGACCCTGCCACCAGCTGGCCATTTAGCTGGTCGGAGAGTACAAATCTGACCTCATGTGCAGGTGGTGCTGCCGTGGTATTCCCCACGCATTTAAATGTGTAACCAGCACCAGCCTCATGCACCCTGCTTTGGTCAGTGAACCTAGTGTCGCTGCGTGCTGCAATGTCGATCCCGTAGCGCACGCGTTCCATCTCGACCAGTGCAGTGCATCGTTCGGGTCACTCACGCGTGTGTCCCTCGAGTGGGTGCGCATGTTTCAGCAGCCGATGTTGGGCGCTTTGCGCGGTCATCAGCTGGACTAGAGGAATTAGGGGGTTCGCTGAAATGGGGACGAGGAGAGTATGTGCAGTGGAATAAGGAAGAAGCGAGGCGTCAGCGGTAGCATGTTTTCGCCTATTCACCTACTGTATGCGGCGGATAAGACTACCCTTCTCCTAGTGATAATGCGAGACGTCCGTTACAGTATGGGATTATTATTATTATTGGCGTAAATCATGGTTGCATTTTGGGCTAGGACATCGCCAGGTCGTTCAAATCTGACAAGAGAATGACTCGGGTCCTTAGCCAAAGCCTACGAACAAATGTACACTCGATAGGCAGCAGGCCATACGCCGTTAATCGGTGAGCTGACTCACGCGGAATTGTGTATATCATGGGCTTTAACTAGAAGAAGGGTGTAACCATACTCCTGTCAAACGGTGGCCACGATGTGGCGTCCAGGACATGAGTCCACTGCACAAGATGGACATCCGATGGTCGAAGATCTGTCAGGATTCAGCCACCACAAGTCCCAGCGCATCATGGGCCTTCCAGGTTTGAAATACAGGCAATAGTGCCGACTTATTTCTAGTGGGTTACCAAATGTACCTTCAGCAATTTTTCGTGCAAAATGCCGCGCTTCAAATTTTGGCCATTTTGTGCGATTATTTTGAGTTATCCTTACAGTCAGGGCTTAGTCATTCGCTTATATTTAATTCCGCATCTGCCATGTCACCACAATTTGGGGAAAGTAGACTTTCTATGTTGCTTCAATGAGACTGAGTTTGCTTTCACAAAGCAGAACGGCAGTATTGGTGCAACATTAATTAGTCCATATGGTAGCGAAGCTCATTTAAATGCAAACATTAGCCACGGTTTTGTGAAGAACAACGCCGATACATTGCGCAATTTCCTTGTGAATCACATTATGGTTAGCCCTTCAACTGCCCTAGACATCGCCGTAGTTGAAAGGAACATGTTTTGAAAATTATTAAAGTGCACTTAGCTCTGGGTATGGTTGTAGTGTTTCTCGGGCTGAACAATTTAGTTGCACACGTTTCGTTGCCAAGCTAGCTAGCTAGGTGCCAATCAGCTTGATTGGTCTATGCCACAGGATTCATCCGTTGAAACTTGCTGGGCAAACATTAAAGGAGCAGTGCACTCATTGTGTGCGCAATTTGTACCCCTCAAGACTCGGAAAGTTGGACCAATGAAACCCCATTGGTTTGACAAAGAGTATAACCAACTGTCTCGACAACGGCGTCGACTATGGAATGCGTTCCTCCTGTCTGGCTCTGCCAATGACTATGAGGCATACAAGCGACAACGAAACTTGTGCAACAGCACAAAGACGCGAAAACGCCGTTAGTTTGAGGAGCAGCTTGCTTGCTCAGCTAAAACTGCCCCGAAGCGCATATTTGCGTACGTGAAGCGACGCCTGAAGTCTGCAGGTAATGTGCCGGTGCTAGTGGGTTCGAACGGACAACCACTAAGTTCAAACACCGAGCGTGCGTCCGCATTAGCGGCGCACTTCGCTTCTGTATTCGCAACTAACCAAACCTGCGCGCCAAGCTCTGCCGTCGCCGCACCGACTGAGCTAACCGACTTGATCTGCGACGTCGCGGAGGTACATGGGCTAGTCAGCTGCCTAGACAGCACGAAGCCAGCTGGACCGGATGGTCTCCATCCGCTGATCCTCAAGTCCTTGTCAGCTGTGATCTCACCTGCTGTAACCGACCTGTTCAACCGATCCCTGTCCATAGGCTGCGTGCCTTGTGACTGGAAATGCGCCGTTGTCAAACCGATTCCAAAAGGCGGTGACACACGCAAAGTGGAGAATTACCGCCCTATTTGTTTGACCGCAGTATTGTCGAAAGTTTTGGAGAAGATTGTGAAGAAGAGACTGCTCCAGCTACTGGAGACCAACTCTCTCCTGACGCCTGCACAGCATGGTTTCGTGAGAGGCCGCTCGTGCATCACTAACCTGCTGCTAACATGGCATGAATGGTTGCAAGCAGTAAACCAACGTAAGTCAGTCGACGTGGTATACGTCGATTTCAGTAAGGCCTTCGACAGAGTGAATCACGAGATCCTCCTTCAGAAACTGAGGGAGTGCGGAGTCGGAGGCTCGCTGCACCAATGGATCCGTGACTTCTTAGTTGGACGGAAGTGGAGGGTGCAAGTCGACAGCCACCTGACCGACTGGTACCCGTCGACGAGCGGCGTTCCTCAGGGGACGGTGCTTGGCCCCATTATCTTCCTAATTCACATCAACGACGTGCCCAATCTCCTTCGGTCGCCGTGTGCCTTGTTCGCGGATGACCTGAAGCTATGGAGGGTGATCCATACGTCGGACGACTCTGACATACTTCAGCAGGACCTCGACCGCCCCTCCATGTGGTCCGCCGAAGTAAGTTTGCCTATCAACTCGGCAAAATCGTTACTTCTGTGCCTCGGTAAAGGTGGAGCGGGCCGATCGTACACTCTCGACGGCCAAGTTCTACACCCGACGCATTGCGTCAGAGACCTTGGCGTTATACAACGTTACGACATGAAGTCACTGGACAACACGGACAATACGTATCGCACAGCATTGCGTTCGCTGTGGGCGCTGAAACGTAGCTTCTGCACCTGGTCGAAAGAGATTGCCACTCGTCTCTTCACATCCATTGTACGACCGGTGCTAGAATACGGCTCACCCGCCTACTGTCCGTTGACGAAAGGCGAGATACACAAGCTCGAAAGAGTACAACACATAGCCACACGGCTCATTCCCGGTCTTCAGGGTGTGCCGTATGAAGAAAGATGCAGACAATTGGGTCTGTATACTCTAGCCTACCGCCGCGTGCGAGTGGACCTCATCATGACCCATCGGGTATTGCATCTGGGTGCTTATCCGATGCTGAGGCCACTGCTCCATGTCCGTGCGTCAAGCAGCACACGAGGTCACCAGTACAAACTGGTAGTCCCTGACCTCAAGTGGGTAGCTCATCCCTTGTGTCTTGAGCGGCGAGTGGTGAACATGTGGAACCGTTTGCCCTCGCGGATAGTAGAAGCGAACTCGGTGTCGGAATTCAAACGATTCCTGGACGCGCACTTTGCGGATGCCAGATTCGACGAAGCCTTCACAGGAAACTGACGAAGGAATCGTTCAATGATTATAACCCATGGAGCCCGTAATCCACCAACTGCAGCTTCCGAAACGATGCCCATCCGTAATAGGCGGCGGAGCTGGTGAAGGACTCCATGTGGTTCATCCAAGAATATATCGTAAGTACATGGAGATTTTTTCTATGCTCGTAAATATTTTACTTTTTTCACCTGGGCTAGTTCACTACTACAGGTAACACTGTGTCAGTGGGACATGTCCTACATTGAGATATAACTACATAGATGTTCAACATCTTTCTCGCTATCATGACAGTAAAGCTAGACAACAAGATCAGTGCGACTTTCAATAACTGCTTCACAGTGCCTCGTCAAGCACTGTCAGGTCTAACTGACCGTTGATCGTTTCTTGCTTTGTGTCTATCCTCTTTAGTTTGACACCCATACAACGATCAAGTGATCATTGCTTCGCCTGTCAATCTTAGATGCTTTGCTGATTTAACCTGCAGAGCTTCGTAAACACACGAGTTCCAGTTACCTGTTGTTTGAGTTCTGGCCCGAATGCCAGGCCTCGATGAACCCATGTGCCCTGTGGCTGCTTGATTTCTCAAGTACATCTGCGTTCTCCGGATCGAATTGGTTATCCTCAGCGTCCATGTGTACTGACATTAACGATTCCTCATCATGCAGCGGATGGTCAGATTAGGTTCGTGCAGTCTTGGGCCAAGTGAACTTGCGGTATGGCCCACGTAGTAGTTGTCATGAATTTTGCAAGAGATGTTGTAAACCACACTTGATTATTCTTCGTTCCGCAGTTTACCCTTTACTTGGAAAAGTTTGCTGATCATGGTTTCTGTCGCTTCCTGTGCAACATTTATTCTGTTAAACGTAGTGAGCTTTGCTGCCATTTCCGAAATCCCATTTATGTAAGGTAAAGTAATCGTTTTCCGTCCTATTACGCATGCGAAGTGGATATGCATTGCTGGGTTCTTTGACAACAGGTGGCATAGGATGCAAATTCATGGGCATGTGTTCCCTGAAAGACGTCATCTAGCTGGTTCTCCTCCTCCTCCCTCGGTTGCAACGCGATACAGTGTATTTGGGACTACTTAAACAGAATGCTCACTTAACTGCTATCTTAAATGTTCGGATCTGATCAGTGCGCGTCACTTCGCGATAAACTGTTGTTTCCAAAGGCCCAGAAGCTAATCATGTCACGAACATGTCCAAGGATCGCACCGCTTCTCCTCTTTTGTGGATTCGATGTCAGGGAAATATTATTGAGTTTTGTAAGCTGGAGCTTTTAAAGATGACAAAAGTATCATCCACTTAACATATCCATAGTTTACGCTCCACAGCGTCTTTTGTTCCACTGCTTGTAACACTGTCTCGGTTACCATGTCGCAGATTGGCGATACCATTGGTTTGGCCGTTAATCGGTTTGGCGGATGAAAGTAAAAATCTTTCTTTGAATTTATTGTACTGACGAGTTTATGTGAATCGGATGGCGTTTTTACATGAGTAGCCTATCCACAAGACATCAGATTTGGGTCATTGCTGTTGCATGCTGTGTTTGTGATGGGTGAACGAATGAAAATATCATTACGTTCAGACTGAGCAGGGTATTTCTCGCTTAGACGCATGATGCCTACCTTGAAACGCCCGACTAACCCTGCTTCTCTTCTAATCTACCACACTGTGGCACTTCAGCTAACCGACCAGAGGAGTGGCAAATTTGTTCACCGGATGAGTATCAGTTGTGGACGGAGTTTACCGCCAAGTCAGATCAACAAGTGACCGCCACACTGCCCTTACACGATCTGTAGTGTGCGGATGGAGTTCACCTCATGTGCCCAGTCAATTAGTCCAGCTGGAAACGAGACGAGAAGCAACGCCACGGATGTACATTGCTTCATTATGTCCGCATCCCCAATATCTGATCAATGCGCCATGCTCAGTATTCATCTTTTGTATTATTTTTAAAAAACACCGTTTATCTTGCGCCAATGTAGCTACTACGAAGAGCAATCAGCAGCTGAGTGACGGAATGCTCGACACAGGCTGCATAGCAACTGTTCTCGTTCCCTCATGATTTCTGTTCTCAGTGTTTGTAAATCCAGATCTATATTATCAAATATATACTATTTCGGATGATAACAAAGAGAATTTATGTAAAGTCTAGTGAATATCAAAGTGGGGTCACTCATCAATATGGTAACTTGCTTTTGATGCGTTTAAACGCTATTGTAACGCAAGAAGTTCATCTGATTATTTGTACTTTAAGGAGCAAAAAGGGTCATCATCGAAGGAATCTGATTTAGTGAGAACAGTAGGTTGATCGGCCAGTGAAGAAATAGCCAGTGCAGATTTAACCACTTACGAACATTAGCAAGTAACATAGGACACATGCTGACGAGGCCTCAGCGATGCTAACATCCCACCAGATTGTGTGATTCAAATCATGAGTGGCTCGATGCATTACCGCGTAAATATAATCCAGCTTCTCTGAAGTTTACTGCAATGGTTTGGCGACGATTGCTGTTTATGTCTGAATCGTTTCCTGGCAGCGCTGTTAAGCTCGAGGTGCAACCTTTTAGCACCGTTGGTTATGGGTTGTAATACACTGTTTGGTCTATTCGACTAGATTTTGTTCTAGTAGCAGTTTAATTGAAGTAACTGAATACGTTGGGGTAGTGCGCCAAACTACACAACCAAATGTACTGTGCGTTGCTATGGGCGCATTTGCTTCAGTCAGTGCAGCATTAGAACACTTGTGACTAGCGTTTTCGTCGAAAGCATTCGTGCTCCTCTCTCTGGATTTATTGGTAGATGAACGGCAGCTAGTGAGCTCCTTGGTCTGGACCCACTACCCGAATACTAACACGATTACTTGCGGTGACAGTGTCCGTTTTTGCCGTGGCAGTTGATTCCTTGCTGCCGATCGACGCACAATATAGTGCGATATATCTTGGTGTTCCTTATAGATAGAGATATATCCATTCGGTAACATATTAGCTATGAAAGCACCGCTCTGGACAGAAAACAGCGACACCGATGGCTGATCCTGCAACGATTATTTATATTCTACTTATAATCTAGCAGTAGGTAGAAGTTAGCAAAACCTAAACAATCAACTGACACCGGGTAAAAATGCAGTTGCTTCACAAGTCTCGCGAGATTGTGGGGTAAAACTACGATTACCAAAGGATAGGCAAGTTGGCTGGTTGAGCGTTTATCTAGCAGATATGCTACTGAATAATGGTAGTGTAAGTGGGACTTGAATGCCATGAGACAACATGTGGACAGTTATATTTGTTGTATTCCGTAAGAAAAGTAAAAACGTGTATATAACTTTAGTACCGCCTCCTCAGGTTTATGTGAGGTTAATCCGGTTTGAAGGGATGTAATATATTCCAAAGTAGCACAGTTTAGGCAGCGAAGTGAGGGGGCCCAAGGGCAAGCTACAATCGCTTTTGAATGTATCCCAGTTGCGGGAGAAAATAAATAAGTTTTGCAGAGAATTCCAGGATTGGCAAACCCGAAGAGAAAATTAATTCCACCGGCATTCGAGGCTGCTGTACTGTGCACGCACTTTCAGTGGATTACCTCTGAGATTGGTGTTCTGGATGAGTTTGAACAAGTGACGGTACACGTGATTAGGGTCACTTAATATTTGGTAGACTAAGATATCGCCGCGCATCAATCGGTAGCGGCCATTGAACACTCCCATTGAATTCAGCCTTTGATAGCAGCACAGATTTCGTAGGTCGTTTACGTTCTTTGTGGCACTGCGTTGGGCTTCCTCTAGTACTTCTAAGTCGCGCTTCAACCAAGGATGCCAAGCTTGGATGGCATATCCAACGTGAGGGCGCACGTAAGTATTGTGCATCATCAGGAAGCTTCGGAATGTTCTTCGCAGCAAGCCGACGTAATTGTTTGCTTTCTTTGCAGCTGCCTCAAACTATTTTGAACAGTTAAGGTGATTCTGAATGAATACACAAAGGTCGCGTTCTTAGAAGGATGTTTCAAGTACATGTGACTCAAGCTTATACACGTAGTAATCCCGCAGCGTAATCGAGCAGCATGACATGTATCCAAGTTGAACGGTAATGTATACAGAACTGACCCCTTTGAAATCGAGTTGAGGTCACGCTGGAGCTTTTCGTGGTCGTTCGGTTATTTGATTGCTCGTCATGACTTGATATCATCCGCGGAGAATAGGAAATCGCATGTAATTTCCCTCCCCAGATCGTTTATGAAAACCAAAAATAACCTGGGTCCGAGCACTGAGCCTATTAGTACGCTGCACTCCACATCGATTGCGTCGGACAGGGATTCTCCTACGCTTACTTTCAACCGACGCTCGTGCAGGAAAGTGCCTATCCAACGCAGCAGTGGGTCACCAAAGCCATAGAGCTAAAGTTTATGTGGGATAATTCTGTGGTCTAAGCGACCAAGCGCTTTTAAGCAGTCCTGGTATATGACATCGACTCCTGCTCCACCATCAACTGCTCCAGTCCAGCTATTGCGTGAAATTACTCGGTTCGTTGTGCATGAACATTTTTTGTCGGAAGCCATGTTGCCCTGGTGCTATAATCTTGTGGTTTTCCAAATACGGCATAAGTGAATCAGCGAGGATAGACTCCATAATCTTGGAAAGCTCAGGGAGTAGAGTTAAAGGACGGTAATTGGTTGGGTCAGTGTGACTACCTGCCTTATCAATAGGAGTCATGATTCCTCGCTTCATTATTCCTTAAGTATCTTTCTCCTTTATATAGCGCTGATAGAATATAGCCAGATTTTCCGCCAGATCACTGGTTGCTGCCTGTAAAGCTTCGGTCGAATGTTATCGACACCAAGTGGGCTGTAGATACGCAGGGTTGCAGAACTCAGTCCTTCAGGGACAAACGTTTATACGGCAAAAACAGCTCAGCGAAAATTACAGCATGCTTAGCAAGCCAAAATCCTCGATGTAAATTACAGGTTCAAGTCAATATCTAACTACCCTTCTGAGTGGGTGAGGTTCCTTCTTTGCTTCAGTTAAACAAACGGTGAAACACTCACACGAACGTCGGCCAATCCGAGTCCGGTAATCGAATCCGTCACGTTCGCCACCCATTGGCCTTCTGGCTCGCTCGGTTACTCCATCTGCTCACTATGAGTTGATACTAACATCACATCCTCCCATTTGTCGTGTTCTGGCGTCTCCATATTACTAACAACACCGTACAACTTGCCACTCTGCGTCGTCTTTGCTGTATCTGTGGCAGTGGTTTCCTTGGCTCTCGCCATCTGCCACTGAACTCCCAATCCACATTGTTGTCTCCAGTGTCATCACAAATGCACTCGATTTCTTCTGAACGTTACCCCTCCAAAGTTTATTTCGTATGACCTAGCACCGCCTCTCGCAGTCACTACACCATGCTCCCACCGCGTTTGCCCATCGGGTAATGGTTGAATTCACATTTCTTCCCTCACTGTTATCTCAAGTAGTACCGGTGCGCCGCGGTCATAGTACCGTTTCTGAATGGTAATTCATCGTCTCAAATTGTTCCGTAATCATTCGTGTAGTGGCGAATCTGGGTGCAAATGTTTGGCAGGTGCCGGTCTCCGAGTTCTAGTCCTTCGGATGTATAGACGCTGCACTGGGCTCAAACCGATATTCCTTGCAGGAGTGTTGCGATTCTCCAGACGCATGAGTTACGGGGCCTCGCCAGTTGATCTAGCCTTTGATAACACTTGCTTGGCCTGCTTAATTACTGACTCTGCCTTTCCACTCGATTGACTGTGATATGGGCTGGTTTGCTTGTGCACGAATTCTCTTAATTGCGAACACCTGGAATGCACCACTGGTAAAATGGGGTCCATTGTCGGAGACCAGCTCTTCCGGTGTACCGTGACACGTGAACTGACATCCGAGCTTTTTGATTACTGCCCTGGTGGTCGTAGTGATGCGTTGATCGATTTCAAAAATCGCTGCAGTAATCCACCTTGAGTAAATAATGCCCGTATCACTGAATAAATCCACCGTCACTTTCTGTCACGGTCCGTCAGGGACATCATGCAGCATCATTGAATCCGTCGCCTGCCGGATTTTGTGTGCACGGGACGCCATACAATTCGATACATGATCTTTTATTTGACCTTTCATCCCTGGTCAAAAGATCAGTTCTCTTTCTCGGTTACTTGTATAATTGGCATCTAGGTGACCGAGATGAAGGTATTTCAGCATTTCTCCTCTTAGCGATGACGGAATCATAATTCGGCTCCCCTTGAACAGCAAATCATCATAAACAGAGGGTTCATCCCGAACATTGAGGTAGGGTGTTTGTTCCTTTGGTAGCTGCCTCTTTGTCTTTGGACATACATTTAGGATAACGTCTCACAAAGCTAAAAGCATTGCATCTCGCTCGATGTGGCAATATTCTGTCACTGCCAGGTGCTGGACTAATTTTACTGTTTCGACCACTTCCGGATCATGCTCGGGTAGCGACAGATGAGCTCTTGATAGCGTATCCGCCATGAACATCTGTGCACCAGGCGTATACACAATATCCACGTCGTAATTTTGAATCCGGATATGTTTACGTTGAAGACGACGAGGAACGACGTGCCGCGGTTCCCTGGCTATTGACACAAGCTGTTTGTGGTCGGCATACAACGTTGTCTTTCTTCCGAATGTATAATGGTTGTACCGCCCCGTGGCATAGATTGCCGCAAGCATCTCCTTCTCAATCTGCTTATAGCGCTGCCCGGTCACCCTGTGTTCGACTGCAGAAATCCAAAGGATTTCCATTGTGTGGGAGAAAAGCACCTGTTCCGCTTGGCTACTATCAAACTGTACCTCCAAAGGCTGCGCTGGATCGTAATACCCGAGAACAGCACGTTGCTACATTGGTGCTTAGTATTTTCGAAAGAGGGTTCCAGTTATTTGCCAAAAATCTAACTTAATATATTGCCAGTTGGATTCCCAATGGGCGTCATGTTATCAGCGAGTCTTGGAGTAAAGCGGCTCAATAATTCAGCATACGGTTGAGGCGACAGATTCCCTATATAACCTTACCAGCCAAGCACTATTGAAACACAAGACGACGCCAACCCCGATATGACGGGCTTCAATAATTTCAAGCAAGTAATCAGGCGACCTCCCCTCTT